GTTGCTGGACATATCTTTTTTAAAATGTGTGTAGGTCACCTAAATCATCAAAAAAATTTCCCCCCCTGAGAATTTTTTCAGGAGCTGCCACTGAGGCTAAGTTATGAGGTGAAAAGGGAACAAATTATTAGGGTGAGGCACATTGGCTACTAACAGCTTACTACACAACATACACTTAGTATTACTTTCTTAGCTACAGTACACGTATCTCCCTGCATATTACATCATTTATGCAGCAGCATACAAGACATTTTGGACTCACCTTGTCAACATCATACTTTCAAAATCTTAGCTAGCAAGCTAGCAGTCATCATCATGAATCAAGTTGACAACCTACTGGCAAATCCTTTTAAATCCTTGTCATATGAAGAGAAATTATGAAGAGAAATTATAGATAAAACGTATCGGTGCTCATCGGCCATTGGACATAAACATTACACAACAAGTTGGAAATCGCAAATTCAACAATGAGTAGTTTGGAAGGAATCAGTGGCTAACTGCAAGCATTGCAAAACAATCACTAGCCTGCTATTCAGTGGAGTGGATGTGTGGTCCAAGTCTGGTTTTAAGGGTCTCTTTTCCAAGTTTAAAAGGATAAACATTGGCCATGCTGTCAATCCAGCATGACTTCTGCCGTGTTCAAAACAACTGGAAACTCGGAACTGGGAAATCTCAGACTTCAGTGAGTTCAAGATAACTGGGAACTCTGAAAAAAACTAGCTACGACTGGAAAAATATGTTTTGAGCGGTCATCCAACTCGGAATTCCAAGTCGGAACTCAAACATCTTTCTAGAGCTCCGACCTGAAGATCACTAACATCATGATTCAACCTTGTTTTTTTCAGAGTTCCCAGTTGTCTTGAAAGTACCATAAATCCAGAGAATTGCAGACTTTGATGACAAAGTTTGATGACAAAATTTGCAGAAGAAGGACCAACTCGCCACCTTCCTGTTCAAGTGAGCACAGCACAACAAGGTGAGTTCAAAAATGTATTGTATGCTGCTGCATAAATGATATAATATGCCAGGGAGATATGTATACTGTAGCTAAGAAAGTAATACTAAGTGTATGTTGTGTAGTAAACTGTTAGTAGCCCAGGTGCCCCACCCTAATAATTTGGTCCCTTTTTCCCTCATAACTTGGTGGTGCACATGTAGCCTATAGCCTGTTTTAGAGAAATGTCATCAATATTGTAAGAGCTTTCATTGTCTGCTTATATGCCCCCTTTATTTATCAGACGGTTCTGACTTGGTGTACAGGGAGAATATTGTATGAACGTTCGATGTTCTGAATTCTGTCATTGTACATTTCAAAAGTGCTGAACAAATACTTACAGGTAAAAGTCAGTAAATTAGAATATTTTGAAAAACTTGATTTATTTCAGTAATTGCATTCAAAAGGTGTAACTTGTACATTATATTTATTCATTGCACACAGACTGATGCATTCAAATGTTTATTTCATTTAATTTTGATGATTTGAAGTGGCAACAAATGAAAATCCAAAATTCCGTGTGTCACAAAATTAGAATATTACTTAAGGCTAATACAAAAAAGGGATTTTTTAGAAATGTTGGCCAACTGAAAAGTATGAAAATGAAAAATATGAGCATGTACAATACTCAATACTTGGTTGGAGCTCCTTTTGCCTCAATTACTGCATTAATGCGGCGTGGCATGGAGTCGATGAGTTTCTGGCACTGCTCAGGTGTTATGAGAGCCCAGGTTGCTCTGATAGTGGCCTTCAACTCTTCTGCGTTGTTGGGTCTGGCATTCTGCATCTTCCTTTTCACAATACCCCACAGATTTTCTATGGGGCTAAGGTCAGGGGAGTTGGCTGGCCAATTTAGAACAGAAATAACATGGTCCGTAAACCAGGCACGGGTAGATTTTGCGCTGTGTGCAGGCGCCAAGTCCTGTTGGAACCTGAAATCTCCATCTCCATAGAGCAGGTCAGCAGCAGGAAGCATGAAGTGCTCTAAAACTTGCTGGTAGACGGCTGCGTTGACCCTTGATCTCAGGAAACAGAGTGGACCGACACCAGCAGATGACATGGCACCCCAAACCATCACTGATGGTGGAAACTTTACACTAGACTTCAGGCAACGTGGATCCTGTGCCTCTCCTGTCTTCCTCCAGACTCTGGGACCTCGATTTCCAAAGGAAATGCAAAATTTGCTTTCGTCAGAAAACATGACTTTAGACCACTCAGCAGCAGTCCAGCTCTTTTTTTCCTTAGCCCAGGTGAGACGCTTTTCGCGCTGTTTCTTGGTCAACAGTGGCTTGACACGAGGTATGCGGCAGTTGAAACCCATGTCTTTCAAGCGTCTCTTGGTGGTGGATCTTGAAGCCCTGACTCCAGCAGCTGTCCACTCCTTGTGAATCTCCCCCACATTTTTGAATGGTTTTTTTTTCACAATCTTGACTAGGGCGCGGTGATCCCTATCGCTTGTACACTTTTTCTGACCACAGTTTTTCCTTCCCTTTGCCTCTCTATTAATGTGTTTGGACACAGAGCTCTGAGAACAGCCAGCCTCTTCTGCAATAACCTTTTGTGTCTTTCCCTCCTTGTGCAATGTGTCGATGGTCGCCTTTTGGACAGCTGTCAAATCTGAAGTCTTCCCCATGTTTGTGTAGGCTTCAGAACTGGACTGAGAGACCATTTAAAGCCCTTTGCAGGTGTTTTGAGTTAATCAGCTGATTATTTTGTGGCACCAGGTGTCTTCAAAATGTAACCCTTACACAATATTCTAATTTTGTGACACACGGAATTTTGGATTTTCATTTGTTGCCACTTCAAATCATCAAAATTAAATGAAATAAACATTTGAATGCATCAGTCTGTGTGCAATGAATAAATATAATGTACAAGTTACACCTTTTGAATGCAATTACTGAAATAAATCAAGTTTTTCAAAATATTCTAATTTACTGACTTTTACCTGTATATTGACTATGTACGTCCTAGCCCACTCATTAATGTCTTAATCGAAATTACGGATTGCCTCTTATCCGCTCGTCATCCCCTTACACTCCAAAATTAGGGGTTCAACAAGGGTTCTTCTAAGTTCCTCAAAGTTCTTTGAAGAACCTTGGCACTGAAAATTGCCCCCGAAAAGTTATTCCAAGAACCCCATAGGAGGTGGGGTTCATCGAGGAACCACCTTAGTTGGTGGGGTTCTTGCAGGAACCTAACTGTCCAACTGAAACATTTGGATTTGAATTTGAAAGGACAGCAGGTGCAGGCACTTAATTGAAAAATGAATAGATCTCCTCAATTTAAGGTAAGGTTTGATCTAAATTGATATTGTTTTATGATGATACCATCTAGCTTTTCATATTTGTGCAAATCTTTCTAAAACAGAAAATGGGGACACAATTCAATGGATATCAATCAACAAAGAGGTAAGAATATGTATGCTATAAGAATATTTTGAAGGCTAGCTGTATTGGGTGCAGATGACTGAACTGCTCACTTTTGTGTCTGTGTCTGCAGGTATACAGACGAGGAGGCATACAATGGTATGTTAATTGGTATTGGTATGTTATGCAGATCACATGTACCATCCTCCTCCCTTAACTCTTCAATGAAATTCCTATAGGCCTCTACATTATGGACAAGGTATGTGTATGAAAACCATTATCAAAACAGTTTTTTCATTCACATTTAACACAAAAACCAAGGTATGAATACTGTCGTGTGCATGTTTTGTTAATCATCTATATAATTACAATTGTTTTGATTCACAGACTTCACCCTCCCTACACCTCTGAATATAACAGGAAACCTGTTTGATCACCATGCAATGCAAAATAATTCTGGCTATGGATACGGAGAACATCAACACATTAACATCAACACGCCAGAGGATATACCCATTGGACAGGGCTCTGCTGGGAGTTTCCCTCATATTTTGAAGTGGTAGGCCACACAAGCTCACAGAAAGGGACTGCCGAGTACTGAAGCACGTAGCTCGTGAAAATCATCTGTCCTTGGTTGCAACACTCACTACCGAGTTCCAAACGGCCTCTGGAAGCAACGTCAGCACAATAACTGTTCATCGGGAGCCTCATGAAATGGGTTTCCATGGCCGAGCAGCCACACACAAGCCTAAGATCACCATGCGCAATGCCAAGCGTTGGCTGGAGTGGTGTAAAGCTCGCCGCCATTGGACTCTGGAGCAGTGGAAACGCGTTTTCTGGAGTGATGAATCACGCTTCGACATCTGTCAGTCCGACAGACTAATCTGGGTTTGGCAGATGCCAGGAGAACGCTACCTGCCCCAATGCATAGTGCCAAATGTAAAGTTTGGTGGAGGAGGAATAATGGTCTGGGGTTGTTTTTCATGGTTCGGCCTAGGCCCCTTAGTTCCAGTGAAGGGAAATCTTAACGCTACAGCATACAATGAAATTCTAGACGATTCAGTACTTCCAACTTTGTGGCAACAGTTTGGGGAAGGCCCTTTCCTGTTTCAGCATGAAAATGCCCCCTTGCACAAAGCGAGGTCCATACAGAAGTAGTTTGTCGGGGTCGGTGTGGAAGAACTTGACTGGCCTGCACAGAGTCCTGAACTCAACCCCATCAAACACCTTTGGGATTAATTGGAACGCCGAATGCGAGCCAGGCCTAATCGCCCCAAATCAGTGCCCGACCTCAATAATGCTCTTGTAGCTGAATGGAAGCAAGTCCCTGCAGCAGTGTTCCAACATCTAATGGAAAGCCTTCCCAGAAGAGTGGAGGCTGTTATAGCAGCAAAGAGGGGACCAACTCCATATTAATGCCCATGATTTTCGAATGAGATGTTCATCGAACAGGTGTCCACATCCATCTAGTGTATTTAACTTTGATGCATACAGTACAGTAGATGGCGGTAAAGTACTTTTACTTGGCTAAACCTGCATCCTTAACAGATGAAGAATAATTTATTGACCAATCAGGAAATATCGGGTGTACTCCGCGCCTGCGCGTTTGAAATATGATAATTTTGTTAATATGCTATGCTATGCTAGCTAGCTAGCGGAGTTTTTTTTTGCATATTAGGTTACCATTAACTTTCCTCTCTTCACTGTCTCGCCACTATATCAAGAGAAAATAGAAAACGCTCTGCATGAAGGGCTGATGGAAAACGCAAGAGATTTGGTGAGCGCGATTATTGTGTTCTGTGTAAATATCTGGTGTAATCCAATTTCCCCCTTTCTTTGTTGTGGTTGTCAGACTGCAGCAGCTAGTTTAGCTCGCTAGGCAGTAGTAGTGCCAGCTAGTTAGTGTAGCTGCAGAAAATAAGACAGACAGCTTTATTCCAGCATTGCCTGCCTTTCAATTGTTTTATAAAGCTAGCCGTTGTTGTTGGCAAGCTGTTGTGCTGCTTCTTCAACAACCCTCCAACCTTCTAGGGCAGCTTGTCCGCTTGTATAACGGTGCAAGATCTAGCAGCTACCGTTAACGTTACGTTAGCTGGCTAGCAAATAATTGCAAGAAGGCAGGCCCGTCATGTTAAATAGACCGCACTGCAGTGATTTTTGGTGCTGTATTGGGGTGTCTTGCCGACTTTAATTCCTGGGATATCAGGTCATGAGCCAGCGCGTGCAGCTGTCATTTCAATGTTGTGCTTTTGCAACAGAGGTTCTGAATAGAAAGGGGGCGGTGCGCCACCGATGACATTAGCTATCTGTTTCTGCAGTGCAAAGCGTTTGGCATGTACTGTAGCTTGTCACAATATGTCGCAGTTTTGATCACTGAGAACATAGACTTATTTTAGTGTGAAAATTGTAGGTGAGCTACCACTAGATATGTGGTGGTGGGTGTTACGGTTATAATTGGTTAACATGTTGAGCTCTGAGCAATTCCCATGTTGGTTCAATGCAGCGCTATTAATAGATTAATTAATTGGTATGTAACTATTGAATTGACATGTTATACTTTCAAAGTCAACTTCATCCGAATTCTGGCCGTGTTGCATGGAAACATTGGACATAGCCTACATATTCTCTTGGACCTCTATATGTAAGCGTATCTAAAAAGGTTTATGGATGCAGTGATTGCTTTGCAGTTATCAGAAAAATGATCAGCAGTAGGTTATCATGCAAAGCAACCACCTGTAGTGGCATGCGGGTAAATGAGACTGCATTGACTGCACTGTGCTAGCTCTAGCTGACACAATCCTCTCTCTCCTACAGGCTGAACGGACTGTTCGTTCAGAAAGGAAGAGGCGGGACTCATTTGGGATGTTTGATGGCTATGACAGCTGCAGTGAGGACTCCAGTAGTAGCTCCAGCTCCGAGGACAGTGATGAAGAGGTGCCCTCCCTCCCTGCTAGCCTGCCCATCATCAAGACCAACGGCCAGGTCTACACCTACCCCGATGGGAAGGCAGGAATGGGTCAGTAATACTGTGGCTGCCTCTGCCTATTGAACATAACCGCTGATGGTGTTATTACATGGTTGAACTGAGATTTTAGCATTCTATTATTTGGCCATCTCTTCGACTGAACAGTTCTCACACCTCGGTGTGTGTCTGTGTGTGTCTGTGTGTGTGTGTGTGTGTTTCACTCTCATCAGCCACCTGTGAGATGTGTGGGATGGTGGGAGTGAGAGACGCTTTCTACTCCAAAACCAAGCGCTTCTGCAGTGTATCCTGCTCAAGGAGCTACTCATCCAACTCTAAAAAAGCCAGCATACTGGCCAGACTGCAGGTAACAGCTGACTGCACTAAGTCTACTTATATTGTCCTTGTATGTTCCTCTATAACCACAATTTTCAACTTGAATTGACATTGAAAAGGTGTGAAAACAGGTTGTATTTATTTCATTTTAACTCCTTCCTCTGTGTATCATCCTATGTGTTCTAACATTAGCTATGTTTCCATTAACTGGTCCAGTGATTTTTTTGTTGTTGTTGACATTTAGAAAGTTCGTATAGAAAATAGATGCGACAATTGCCTGCTACAGTGTGTTTCCATTTAACTCTCTTGTCGATAAAAACAGCTGGACGTAAGGAAGTAAAATAAAAATAATTACGTGGTTAAAGTGTTTCCATTAACCATTTAGGCAAATTGCGCATTAATAAATTGCTGACAGCCTGGATGCCCTCCCACCTACAGTGGGGAAAAAAAGTATTTAGTCAGCCACCAATTGTGCAAGTTCTCCCACTTAAAAAGATGAGAGAGGCCTGTAATTTTCATCATAGGTACACGTCAACTAGGACAGACAAAATGAGGAAAAAAAATCCAGAAAATCACATTGTAGGATTTTTAATGAATTTATTTGCAAATTATGGTGGAAAATAAGTATTTGGTCAATAACAAAAGTTTTTCAATACTTTGTTATATACCCTCTGTTGGCAATGACACGGGTCAAACGTTTTCTGTAAGTCTTCACAAGGTTTTCACACACTGTTGCTGGTATTTTGGCCCATTCCTCCATGCAGATCTCCTCTAGAGCAGTGATGTTTTGGGGCTGTTGCTGGGCAACACAGACTTTCAACTCCCTCCAAAGATTTTCTATGGGTTTGAGATCTGGAGACTGGCTAGGCCACTCCAGGACCTTGAAATGCTTCTTATGAAGCCACTTCTTCGTTGCCCGGGCGGTGTGTTTGGGATCATTGTCATGCTGAAAGACCCAGCCACGTTTCATCTTCAATGCCCTTGCTGATGGAAGGAGGTTTTCACTCAAAATCTCACGATACATGGCCCCATTCATTCTTTCCTTTACACGGATCAGTCGTCCTGGTCCCTTTGCAGAAAAACAGCCCCAAAGCATGATGTTTCCACCCCCATGCTTCACAGTATGTATGGTGTTCTTTGGATGCAACTCAGCATTCTTTGTCCTCCAAACACGACGAGTTGAGGTTTTACCAAAAAGTTATATTTTGGTTTCATCTGACCATATGACATTCTCCCAATCCTCTTCTGGTTCATCCAAATGCACTCTAGCAAAATTCAGACGGGCCTGGACATGTACTGGCTTAAGCAGGTGGACACGTCTTGCACTGCAGGATTTGAGTCCCTGGCGGCGTAGTGTGTTACTGATGGTAGGTTTTGTTACTTTGATCCCAGCTCTCTGCAGGTCATTCACTAGGTCCCCCCGTGTGGTTCTGGGATTTTTGCTCACCGTTCTTGACATCATTTGACCCCACGGGGTGAGATCTTGCGTGGAGCCCCAGATCGAGGGAGATTATCAGTGGTCTTGTATGTCTTCCATTTCCTAATAATTGCTCCCACAGTTGATTTCTTCAAACCAAGCTGCTTACCTATTGCAGATTCAGTCTTCCCAGCCTGGTGCAGGTCTACAATTTTGTTTCTGGTGTCCTTTGACAGCTCTTTGGTCTTGGCCATAGTGGAGTTTGGAGTGTGACTGTTTGAGGTTGTGGACAGGTGTCTTTTATACTGATAACAAGTTCAAACAGGTGCCATTAATACAGGTAACGAGTGGAGGACAGAGGAGCCCTCTTAAAGAAGTTGTTACAGGTCTGTGAGAGCCAAAATCTTGCTTGTTTGTAGGTGACCAAATACTTATTTTCCCCCATAATTTGCAAATAAATTCATTAAAAATCCTACAATGTGATTTTATGGATTTTTTTTCCTCAATTTGTCTGGCATAGTTGACGTGTACCTATGATGAAAATTACAGGCCTCTCTCATCTTTTTAAGTGGGAGAACTTGCACAATTGGTGGCTGACTAAATACTTTTTTTCCCCACTGTATGTGTTTCATGTCTCAGGTAGCCCACGAAAGCCAGCATGGATATACTGCAATAATTTACTAATATTTGCCATATTCTAATAATTCTCATGTTCCAACGTATTGCAACAATCCGTGCCATAGTGAAACTTGCATCCAGCCAACCAGAAAAGCAAGGCGAAGCAGTTCAGGCATTCTAGAAAGTCAGGACAATCCTTGTCCTGCAAAGAAAACACTTTTTATAGTTGAACATTTTTATTTAGCAAGCAATAGGCATTTAGAATTAAATGTTGAGTGGATCTTTTTTGCTTGGGCTACGTAAGGATATCATGTGCCCCGGTTACCTTCAAAATTATTTGGCAATAAAGAAAGTTAGACAAAAGTAAAATCCATCCCAGTCGCACTGATAAAAATGTTGTTGATCTTTAGAAAATGTATCCTATATCTGCCATTTCCATTACACACGTTGCAATGATTTATTTTGCAACATTTGTTGCATAAACCTGGAACAATGGTAAGCTGCCTTGCTTGTAAGATTCTTCTTCCATCTCTCTCAATATTTGTTATTTTATTATTATTTTCAAAGGGTAAACCACCAACGAAAAAGGCTAAAGTATTACAGAAGCAGCCTCTCATGGCAAAGTTGGCTGCCTATGCCCAGTACCAAGCTAACCAACAGAATCAAGTCAAGTCAAAAACCGGTAAGTTCCATGTAAAAGTCCATGACACAAGAAAATGCATGTATTACCAATTACAAATGACAACCATTACAAATTACTACAGTATAGGTGCAATAGTCTTCAACGATGATTCTTCTAGGACTAGATTGAGATGATATCTTTCTCACTATAAATAAAGAAGGTGATGATAATAAGAGAGTCATTGATTGACTTTTGTTATCTCTCATGACGATACCTGTGGTGGTTGCAGTGATTCCTGTGAAAGGCTTTGATTGGGGACGCTACATAGGCACCGGCGACATTAACGGGGCACCTGTCGGCTGTTTCAAACATGTAAGCAACGCTCAGCTCACACACTCCAAAGGGTTGCTGATGAAAAGTGACAGTGTATGGAAGTCAGAACATGTAGACACAGCCAATATGGTATATCTTAACTGACATTATACTTTTAAAGTAGAGATCACACTCAGTAGATAAATGATGCAAGCATTTATGGTTGCCTCTCATGGTGAGTACTTATTAAGGGACTAATATTACAATAAATACGAAGTAATTGAATTTCAGCTTGGGCCTTTCTTGTTTGTAATAAAGAAGTAGATTCTTCTAGATATTAAGAATGTGTTGATTTGTAACCCTGTAAGACTTTTTATGCTCCAGTACAACGAAACTCAACAGAGCAAGTATGTTAGAATATACCTAATCTCTATTGACCCATCAAAGGTCATTTTTCACCACAATAGCTCTTCTGGATGTTTTGGAAATACGGTGTCATTCTGTCTCTGGGGGGAACTCTTGGGTGGCAGGTATCCTTGCGGTTAGAGCGTTGGGCCAGTAACCGAAAGGTTGCTGGTTCGAATACCCAAGCCGACAAGGTGAAAAATCTGTCTGTGTTCTTGAGCAAGGCACTTAAACCTAATTTGCTCAAGGGGCACCATACTACTATGGCTGACCCTGTTAAACACCACATTTTACTACACCTGTCTGGTGTATGTGACAATAAAACATATTTTTTGTTGTTTTTTACATTGTTGAAGCTGCACTAATTGTCAGGATAGGTGACCATGAAGAATATTAGCTTGCCATGATGAGTTTGGTTGTTGAAATTAATAGCAGTCCTTTTTGAGGGGACATATTTGTATTGTCATGATGTGATGATGTTATTCTCTATGTTCAGCGTGTGATCCCGAGTGTTGTCTTCTCTGCCTTAGGTTCCCATGGGAACTTCTTGGGGTGACCTTGCAGAAGGGGTGAGGGTAGAGGTGCCCAATACAGACAGCGGCCTTCCAATGAAGGTGTACTGGATAGCAGGAGTTATCAAATTAGCAGGTAACAAAGCAGCCCCAGAGAATCCTCTTCACTCTAAAATGCACCTGGTTGGATTCATAGATGACGGTGTACTTTCTCTGCATTCATTGTTTTCATCAAACTCTGTTTACACATGGACATGTTACACTTAGATGTAGCCTACACGCAATGCTTGGAAACATAGATACTTCTCTCATCCACAATACTCCTATAATTCATTTTTAAGGGTATTTCATGGGGGGAAAATAATCCGAAAATCACAAATAAGGTTGAGTGGTTTTCCTCATCTTAAAGCACCGCTGTGTTTCTCTTCGCAGGCTTTAAGGCACTACTACGGTACGAGGGGTTTGATGGTGACTCTGGCAGGGATTTCTGGTGTAACATCTGTGTCCCTGACATCCACCCGGTGGGCTGGTGTGCAGCAGGAGGAAAGCCCCTGGTTCCTCCCAAATGTAAGACTTAACAGAGGGAATCACTTAGAAAACACAGGCAGGAAATTTGTGGCCACAAGGCTACCAATTCAGTGCTCATCGATCAGTATGTATGAATTTGTGGCCATAAGGTAAATAATGATAATGCCTTTATTTTTAAAAGCACCTTTCATGCATTACACTCAAGGTTACCAAATCACTGCTCAGTATTCTTTAAACAAGGTACTGTATTTTGTTATGTATACGGCATGCATAGTCTGTTCTATGAAAGGTAATAACAACTAATTATAGTACTGCACTTTGTTTTGCCAAGATAAGGATATATGCTGTGCTACAAGTGGTGGGGCAAGTGTTGAGTCATTTATCATTTCTGACCGGTTTGAGAGAATCATTTCTAATCTTTGCCAAACATTGTCCGACTGTTTCACTTTAGCCATTCAGCACAAGTGCACCAACTGGAAAGCGTTTCTCGTGAAATGCCTGACAGGAGCAAAGACTCTACCTATTGATTTCTCCACAAAGGTGAGCTACAACTGTACATCAGAAGACACCCCAACACCTCACTCATAGTACAAATATGCATCAAATATCAATGTGAGAAGAAGAATATGTTTGTATTATGTCCACAAATGCAACACTAATAACCTTATGGCACTACCAGTACAAACATGCATTGCATGTATTATTGTATTGTACACTAGTGACATATTCTATAATGCCTAACTGGATTGTCAAGTAACCTTGTAGAATCCTCACCTCCTCACTCTTCCCCAGGTTCAGCAGAGCATGCAGTTCCCTTTTAAGAAGCTGATGCGTGTGGAGGTGGTGGATAAGACTCACCTGTGCCGGACGCGGGTGGCCCTGGTAGAGCAGGTGATCGGAGGTCGGCTTCGGCTCGTCTACGAGGAGTGCGAGGACGGCTCGGATGACTTCTGGTGCCACATGTACAGCCCACTGATACACAGCATTGGCTGGTCCCGCGGCATCGGACACCGCTTCAAGAGATCTGGTCAGTGACATTTTGGGGAGGGCACGCGAGACTAGGCACTTGGGTCTTAAACATAAGGGTAAAGATTTATTTGGGGTTTAAGGACCCAGAAAAGCTCAACATGGGTGAAACACTTATAGGCACTTTAAGATTAGAGTTGTTTCTGTATGATTTATATTGAGTTGTAGGGTTTGATTGTTGTCCATTAATTACAGACATTCTTTATTTATTTTGGTGTTACAAACGTTCATATTATTGTTTCAGATGTGTCAAAGAAACTTGATGGCCAAGTAGATGCCCCAGGACAGCTTTTTGCGAAGGTTAGTTCAAATAAATGTTTCAATCTGCCACTTGACTCAGTTGATTTAAGTATTTTTGTAGTCTTTGACATTTGTTTGACACGTGGCACAATCTCTCTTAGGTGAAGGATGTTGACCAGAGTGGGGAGTGGTTTAAAGATGGCATGAAGCTGGAGGCTATTGACCCTCTGAATCTATCAGCTATTTGTGTTGCTACTGTCAGAAAGGTAAACCCTATAATCGTGATGAGAAATATGACTGACAGAGAAATCAGGGAAATAAAGACAAATAAACTTGCACATGTAACAGTTTGGACACATTCACGCTCCCTACCTTCTCTCTTTACAGGTCTTGGCGGATGGATACCTCATGATCGGAATTGATGGTTCCGAGGCGGCTGATGGCTCTGACTGGTTCTGCTATCACTCCACCTCTCCCTCTATCTTTCCTGCTGGATTCTGTGAAATCAACACAATTGAACTCACCCCTCCACGTGGTACACACTGAATTACATTACATTGTGTGGTAAAAGCATCATCACAATTGTCTATTTGAGTTTATTTGTAGTATCAAGAGAGTGCACACCACTGATTCTCACCTCACAGTGGCTATTTAAATTGGCCTGCCAGTTGCTGTTACCTGCCAGTTGCTGTTACCAGTTGCTGTTACAGTTGCCAGTTGCTGTTACTAGCCTCAATAAGTAAGTCTCTTCTCCAGGGTACACAAAACTCCCATTCAGATGGTTTGACTACCTCAGGGAAACGGGTTCAGTGGCAGCTCCGGTGAAGCTCTTTAACAAGGTAACCTTGTGCAGCTTTTGGTCTGCTAGCTATTTTGCCTGTTAGGTCATTTTGGCTCTTTTACTTTTATTCTCAGTCTGTTTGACTGAATTTGTTGTCTAAACCAACTACTTGCTTGTCTAAGTAACTCTTTACATTTTCACCTGTTGAATTTAATCTATTTGAAGTTTGATTGTTTATGCAGTTTGCCTTTCTCAAATTGCTGGATTTCTCTCAGTAGTGTAGTCGTTTCAGGAAATTAGTCTGAATAAGGATGACCAAGCGCATCTGAGTGCGTGAAGTTAAGAAAGACTAGTAGCCCACCATGTACAATGTCGCTTGCTTGTAGTTGTAGTGTTATGAGAAATTCCCTGAGTCCACCAGCTGAATGTTCCTTTCTTTTTCTTGACTCTGAAGGAGGTTCCAAATCATGGGTTCCGCCCTGGCATGAAGCTGGAGGCTGTGGACCTGATGGAGCCCCCGGCTGGGTGTGTTGCCACAGTGACACGTATTGTACATAGACTGCTGCGCATCCATTTTGACGGCTGGGAGGACGAGTATGATCAGTGGGTGGACTGTGAATCACCTGACCTTACCCTGTGGGCTGGTGTCAACTGACTGGCTACCAGCTACAGCCACCAGCTGTGCTAGGTGAGTTTTTTAATATTCTGTTTATTGGTATTTCTCAGCATTTATTAAAAAAGATAAAGATGGTCTGAACCGCTCTAGTCTAGCACAAAAAAACCTTTTGAAACTAAGTCCGATTTTTCATTAGCATCATCCCCAAATGACATTTTACATTTGAGTCATTTAGCAGATGCTCTTATCCAGAGCGACTTACAGTTAGTGAGTGCATAAATTTTTCATACTTCCCCCCCCCGTAGACAAACAAAAACCTCAACAATTCTGACAAACTTCAAGCATGATTATGCAAGAATGTGGCTGGCCATCAGTCAGGATGTGGCCCAGAAGTTAATTGACAGCATGGCAGGGCGGATTGCAGAGGTCTTGAAAAAGAAGGTCAACACTGCAAATATTGACTCTTTGCATAAACTTAATGTAATTGTCAATAAAAGCCTTTGACACTTATGGAATGCTTGTAATTATACTTCAGTATACCATAGTAACATCTGACAAAAATATCTAAAAACACTGAAGCAGCAAACTTTGTGAAGACCAATACTTCTCAAAACGTTTGACCACGACTGTACATCACAAGAACTCCCAACACCTCACTCATAGTACAAATATGCATCAAATATAAATGTGAGAAGAAGAATATGTTTGTATTATGTCCACAAATGCAACACTAATAACCTTATGGCACTACCAGTACAAACATGCATTGCATGTATTATTGTATTGTACACTAGTGACATATTCTATAATGCCTAACTGGATTGTCAAGTAACCCTGTAGAATCCTCACCTCCTCACCCTTCCCCAGGTTCAGCAGAGCATGCAGTTCCCCTTTTAAGAAGCTGATGCGTGTGGAGGTGGTGGATAAGACTCACCTGTGCCGAACGCGGGTGGCCCTGGTAGAGCAGGTGATCGGAGGTCGGCTTCGGCTCGTCTACGAGGAGTGCGAGGACGGCTCGGACGACTTCTGGTGCCACATGTACAGCCCACTGATACACAGCATTGGCTGGTCCCGCGGCATCGGACACCGCTTCAAGAGATCTGGTCAGTGACATTTTGGGGAGGGCACGCGGAGACTAGGCACTTGGGTCTTAAACATAAGGGTAAAGATTTATTTGGGGTTTAAGGACCCAGAAAAGCTCAACATGGGTGAAACACTTATAGGCACTTTAAGATTAGAGTTGTTTCTGTATGATTTATATTGAGTTGTAGGGTTTGATTGTTGTCCATTAATTACAGACATTCTTTATTTATTTTGGTGTTACAAACGTTCATATTATTGTTTCAGATGTGTCAAAGAAACTTGATGGCCAAGTAGATGCCCCAGGACAGCTTTTTGCGAAGGTTAGTTCAAATAAATGTTTCAATCTGCCACTTGACTCAGTTGATTTAAGTATTTTTGTAGTCTTTGACATTTGTTTGACACGTGGCACAATCTCTCTTAGGTGAAGGATGTTGACCAGAGTGGGGAGTGGTTTAAAGATGGCATGAAGCTGGAGGCTATTGACCCTCTGAATCTATCAGCTATTTGTGTTGCTACTGTCAGAAAGGTAAACCCTATAATCGTGATGAGAAATATGACTGACAGAGAAATCAGGGAAATAAAGACAAATAAACTTGCACATGTAACAGTTTGGACACATTCACGCTCCCTACCTTCTCTCTTTACAGGTCTTGGCGGATGGATACCTCATGATCGGAATTGATGGTTCCGAGGCGGCTGATGGCTCTGACTGGTTCTGCTATCACTCCACCTCTCCCTCTATCTTTCCTGCTGGATTCTGTGAAATCAACACAATTGAACTCACCCCTCCACGTGGTACACACTGAATTACATTACATTGTGTGGTAAAAGCATCATCACAATTGTCTATTTGAGTTTATTTGTAGTATCAAGAGAGTGCACACCACTGATTCTCACCTCACAGTGGCTATTTAAATTGGCCTGCCAGTTGCTGTTACCTGCCAGTTGCTGTTACCAGTTGCTGTTACAGTTGCCAGTTGCTGTTACTAGCCTCAATAAGTAAGTCTCTTCTCCAGGGTACACAAAACTCCCATTCAGATGGTTTGACTACCTCAGGGAAACGGGTTCAGTGGCAGCTCCGGTGAAGCTCTTTAACAAGGTAACCTTGTGCAGCTTTTGGTCTGCTAGCTATTTTGCCTGTTAGGTCATTTTGGCTCTTTTACTTTTATTCTCAGTCTGTTTGACTGAATTTGTTGTCTAAACCAACTACTTGCTTGTCTAAGTAACTCTTTACATTTTTCACCTGTTGAATTTAATCTATTTGAAGTTTGATTGTTTATGCAGTTTGCCTTTCTCAAATTGCTGGATTTCTCTCAGTAGTGTAGTCGTTTCAGGAAATTAGTCTGAATAAGGATGACCAAGCGCATCTGAGTGCAGTGAAGTTAAGAAAGACTAGTAGCCCACCAATGTACAATGTCGCTTGCTTGTAGTTGTAGTGTTATGAGAAATTCCCTGAGTCCACCAGCTGAATGTTCCTTTCTTTTTCTTGACTCTGAAGGAGGTTCCAAATCATGGGTTCCGCCCTGGCATGAAGCTGGAGGCTGTGGACCTGATGGAGCCCCGGCTGGTGTGTGTTGCCACAGTGACACGTATTGTACATAGACTGCTGCGCATCCATTTTGACGGCTGGGAGGACGAGTATGATCAGTGGGTGGACTGTGAATCACCTGACCTCTACCCTGTGGGCTGGTGTCAACTGACTGGCTACCAGCTACAGCCACCAGCTGTGCTAGGTGAGTTTTTTAATATTCTGTTTATTGGTATTTCTCAGCATTTATTAAAAAAGATAAAGATGGTCTGAACTCGCTCTAGTCTAGCACAAAACAACCTTTTGGAAAACTAAGTCCGATTTTTCATTAGCATCATCCCCCAAATGACATTTTACATTTGAGTCATTTAGCAGATGCTCTTATCCAGAGCGACTTACAGTTAGTGAGTGCATAAATTTTTCATACTTGCCCCCCCCCGTGGGAATCGAACCCACAACCCTGGCGTTGCAAGCGCCATGCTCTACCAACTGAGCTACAGGAGACCTTGACTGTAATCTCTCAAATTACCAAAACTACCAATACAGGTAGAACTGCTTTGAAACAACTGCCAATAAACAAATGCAAAACAAAAACAACCAAGAGAGACAGTCAAAACATCAAACTTAATTCAACCAAAACACAAACAGAAACCTTCAGATAACCAAAACACTGCGACTTTAATGCAAACCTTTAATCTGAAACGAATTCTATTAATGTAGGAAAAATGAGCTAAAGCAGTGCATTTTTTGAATGAGGTGAGACGAGCTGTGCTGCACGAATGTATGAATGAATGAGTTGTTCTCTGGTTTGTGCTTTTTTTCAGCCTCTAGAGAGCTCCCTCCGAGTGTGACAAAACAGAAGAAGAAATCCCAGCAGTACAAAGGCCAAAAGAAAAGTGGGTCATCTGTCCCCTTGTTTCGCCCCGTGCCTCAGCCCCCTCCCCCTGCATCCTCTGCCTCTCGTTTCTGCCCCTGTGCCTACGCCTCCTCCACTGCACCCTCCCCTTTCCCTCTTTCTCTCTCTATTTAAGGGCAAAGCTGCACTCGCCACAGCTTTTCACGGTTCTTGCTCTGCGGGCATCTCTATTCACACCAAAACAGAGCATTGAAACCAAGTCAGAAACCTCCTACAACGGATGGATTTTCATACCAGTGTGAAGCTGTTATTAAAGGATGAGACCTCAGGCTAAAGACAAATCTTCAATGACTGCAATAAAATACAAATTATTTGATTATGTAGGCCCATAGTGTAGATCTTTTTATAGTGTGCTTGGTTTTTGTGTTCATTCAGTCTACATCAAGCTTTTCCTGAATACCTTACATTTCTAAGACATTTTTACCTAGATTTGAATATTGACATTGTACCTTATTAATGATTTAATAACACATAAGTAACTGAAGAAGGACTGAGCACGCCCCCATTCTCATCGACGGGGCTGTAGTAGAGCAGGTTGAGAGCTTCAAGTTCCTTGGTGTCCACATCACCAACAAAATATCATCGTCCAAACACACCAAGACAGTCGTGAAGAGGGCACGACAAAGCCTATTCCCCCTCAGGAGACTGACAAGATTTGGCATGGGTCCTCAGATCCTCAAAAAGTTATACAGCTGCACCATCGAGAGCATCCTGACTGGTTGCATCACTGCCTGGTATGGCAACTGCTCGGCCTCCGACCTTAAGGCACTACAGAGGGTAGTGCATACGGCCCAGTACATCACTGGGGCCAAGCTTCCTGCCATTCAGGACCTCTATACCAGGCGGTGTCAGAGGAAGGCCCTAAAAAGACTCCAGCCACCCTAGTCATAGACTGTTCTCACTGCTACCACACGGCAAGCGGTACCGGAGCGCCAAGTCTAGGTCCAAAAGGCTTCTTAACAGCTTCTACCCCCAAGCCATAAGACTCCTGAACAGCTAATCAAATGGCTACCCGGACTATTTGCGTTGTTATTTTACTGCTTTTATTTTTTACTTATCTATTGTTTACTTAACACTATTTTTCTTAAAACTGCATTGTTGGTTAAGGGTTTGTAAGTAAGCATTTCACTGTAAGGTCTACACCTGTTGTATTCGGCGCATGTGACAAATAACATTTGATTTGAAGTAGTCACATGTCAAAAAGAGCAAAGGCATAAGAAACAAGAGAAGGCAACAGCAGAGCTGATTAATCATTTTACCTTTGTCTGGGTTTTTAGAGAGGAAGTTCCCCATTGGTAAGAGGCCAGTAAGTTTGTCGGGGGTGGCATTGAGTGGAGTGCCCCAGAGGAACCTATCTGGAGACGAGAACATGACCCCGCCAGACTACCCATCTCCACCCACGCCAGCATCTGCCTCAGGGACTGAACAGCCTCCCTCGGCAGCCCAGGAACTCAGCCCCAATGGAAAGCCAGGTAACCTAAACCACCCCGCCAACTGAACTCAAATTAGAAACCCATGTTAAGCCTGGTAGTTGGGTAGGGATGTCCTCTACTGAAACATAATGGTGTAGTAGTCCAAGTACTCTACCCCATCTCAGCATCAACCATATTGAACAAGGCAACCTATTTTCTCTTTTATCTCCTGAGTTTTATAATGAATCTCTCCTACTTCTCTACTGTCCCTCTTTCCCTTCCCAAGGGGTGACGCTGCAGCTGAAGGAGGAGGTTCAGGAGGCGGACGAGTTCACCTTCCCGCAGGGCACAGCCTCCGACCTGGAGAGCAACGGCTCCGGTGGCAGCTACTACATCAAGCAGGAGCCCTGAGCCTCCATGGGGCACTGCTGCACCCACCCACCAACAGAGGGCCAACCTGGGGGCAAGAAGGAGCCAGTCCACTCCTTCTCCCTCCACAGCACCAGAGACCATGGGCCCTGTGTGACATCCCCACAACATTAACATGGAAGGTCACCAGGGGTCACCAAGCTGTGCCCATAGAGAGACTCGGGACAGAGTGGCTCAAAGACTAGTTCCAAACAGACAGCGCAAATGGGGAGAGGAGCGTAGAAAAGAAAAAGAGAGGTGCGTGAACGACAATAACATTACGTTTCATTTCAGTGTTTTGTACTTCAACAAAAACGTTTTTGTACGATTTTCAAATCCGAGATCTTTTTGTGCATCTCTCGTATTCGTTACTTTGAGGTAGGGTAATGTTTCGATGGATAAACTGTGTGATGTTTGTGAGTATATATAATCAGATTTTCCAAAAAAAAACAGGGTGTATGTATGTAGGTATTGAATAGACTAAACCTTACTGGTATAAAACAATCACTCAGATATAAAATAGAAACACCACCAATCAGCTTCATACCAGTTCCACACATTCAACTAAGATTTGAGCAGCCTTACACATTCTCTGAATCTTGCGTTCCATTTGTGTGATAGCCAATCATGACCGACAGCTATCACTGGGACATTACCAAGGAGAATGTGGTAGAGTTCCCAAATCTCTAGTTGACCCTTTTCTCACACTATATTTACCATGCCTTATTTAAAGTATGTTTACAAATATTACTCCTCTTGGCCAGCTGATTGCAGGCACATTTTTGTCAAATCTAAAAAATTATACTCTATGAAAAACAGGTCATCCACCATGGTAATATTGAGTTCTATCACAGTTTACTACACAATGATATGCAAACCTTGACTCTTGTGTCAAATAATACTGAGATCTATCTGAAATGTTCTATATCTAATGTATAGCAGTATTCTACATTAATTATGTCATAATTCAGAGCGATACTATAAATAGAGTAGAGTAGATATTCAAGCCACTGAAATAGTTGGGCTGTTGTTCACTATCATCACTTCACTACCATCAACAACATGAGAACCATTTATCTAAATAGAGAATTTACTGCCTTTGTAAAAGAAAATCTTCAAAATCATGCTATGTTTGCTCTACCTCTTTTAGAACTTTAATGTAATCTCCTGTTGCAAGGTAGTCAGATTCTGATCAAACCACACGTAAAGTTGATTTTCATGACAATTTAAATCACTTTGACAGCTGTGTGCATATTTCCTAGTAAGTGATTGGTAGGCCTGGGCTAAATTGTCACACTCACCGACTCATGATCATACAATTTATTCATAGGCCATCCTTTCAATGGGAGATATTAAATGAATGTCAATATTGATTTATAAAACAAAATATATCACATTAAATGTGTATTTATGAACAAAGCATACAGTATATAACAGCCAATTTACAAACATGATATGGTGATTTATTTTGTGCCATATGAGAAATTAAAGAGGGATTATAATCTACATACTATATACTATATAAAATAGTGACTGCACTCCATTGTCTCACTTTATATACCAGTAAGGTTGACAATTTACTCTCAGGAAATCTTAGCGTATTGTATTATAGGCTTCTTCGTCGTTATGGTTATTGAGAAAGGTGTTGTCATTGGCTGTTGGCATGCTGAAATTAGGCTTCGGAGATTGATGTGGTCAACAGTATTAACAAAATGTGTTAGTCCAAGATCAGTCTTAAAGTAAATGTCACTTGGTAAACCATCTCACTAATGTAGACCTATCTGATTGTGATACAAGGTCCCATTTTAAGTGGATTTGTCATATATTCTGTCGCTCTAGAGGTAGGATTACCCGTCTGTATGTCACTGTTTGATAATGTGTAGGTGTTTGTTTTGAACTTTTTAAATTTTTTTTGCAAAAGTGTTCAGTTAAATGTTAGCTCTGTCGATTGTCTTACTGTTGTTACTGTATGTTTCAATGTCTGGTACTGAGTGAAACTCAAACTAGTATTACAGTCTCAATTCAAATTGACATTTTACGCGTTGGCTGGTGTAAACCAGCTCAGGTGACCATGGTGATGTCAAAGATTGCCAAAGGTCACTGTCAAGCAATAACGTCTTATCACAGTACTCTCCTAACGTTACATTTCACCCTAAATCTCATAATAATGAACAAGGTTTGACATGCACACAATAGCTAAATATATGGTAAAGAGGCGTATGTTTTGCAAATACCCCTCAATTTCACCCTACATTAGGTTTGGGAGACGCAGTGAGATCATAAGCTTTTAGCTGTACTTTCACTCAAACTTCAGACTGTGCATCAAAGACCGAATGGTGGAAATATACATTACATTATGTTAATAATTTATATGGCATGACTGTTTTGAGACGACAAACCTTGTTTCCGTCGTCCTTGTAACACAAATGTTAGACATGAGAATTCATGGTATTTGAATGAAGAAAAAAAGAAACACACAAATGGACTCAATATAGGGCTACACTATTCTGATCATGACGTTAATTGATTTCAAATGCATTATTTCATCAATATTATAATCAATATAAAAGAAACAAGACTAGAGGGTGTGTTTGTTAAAACCAAAATATGTGCATGCAGCAGTGTGAACATCATGTCCTCTTGGGCTTAATTGGTTGGTCTTGGTTTATGTATAACTGTTGGTCTTTGCACTAACACGGGTCTGTGTGTATGTGAGCTTGTTGTTTCTAATGTGAAACCCCTTCATCATAGTCTTTGTATTCTGGTGCTATATATATATATATGATAAAGTCATAACCTTTTGTTAAGAATGAAATGATTTTCAAAAACTGTGACCATGGTGAAGAAATTCAGTTCTCTTCTCGTATTCTCGTATTTTGGATACAACTAAAATGAAAGATTTGTATTGAATTAACTGTCAAAACATTTTCTTTGCATGGCACTTGTGGGATAAATAGGGATTTTTAGCGTTTTCTGTACGTTTTTTCTTCGTCCAAGTATATCGTTTTTGTTCCTTGGTTTCCATGGTAAATGTGCTGTGAACATGAAGTTTACTAAGCTACAGTATATCAAATACAAAAGAAAAAAAATATGTATTTGAAGAAAGATGTTTACTTTCATTTAACATTTTTAATGAATCTTGCAGCATGTTTGTGGAAAAGCATTAATGTAAAATAAATTATTCATTTTACTTTTTTTACACTGCATAAAAGTACAGTATTGAAAAGCCAGTGCCCATTGTTTCGTTGACTACACCATTAAAGGGATACTTCAGGATTTTGGCAATGATCTTGCCTTTATCTACTTCCCCAGAGTCAGATGAACTCCTGGATACCATTTTTGTGTCTGTGTCCAGTATGAAGGAAGTTAGAGGTAGTTTTGTGAGTTAATGCTAACTAGCATTAGCGCTATGACTGGAAGTCTGGGTATCTGCTAGCATGCTATGACGAAGTCTATGGGTATCTGCTAGCATGCTATGTCTGGGTATCTGCTAGCATGCTATGACTGGATGTAATTTACATTTTAGTCATTTAGCAGAGCAACTTAGTGAGTGCATACATTTTCATACTGGCCCCCCATGGGAAACAAACCCACAACCCTGGTGTTGCAAGCGCCATGCTCTACCAACTGAGCTACAGGGGACATCATTATGAAGTCTATGGGTATCTGCTAGCAGTTACTCAGACGGTCATTGCGCTAAAGTTTGAGCCAATGCTAACTTCCTTCATCCTGGACAACTTTTTATCCATGAGTTCGGACACTGGGAAAGTAAAAGGCCT